AAAATTAATTTAAAAAAGTGTTAAAATTAAAAAAAAAATCGCGAGCAGCTGCCGGAGTGCCGCTCGCGCTCCCCCAACTGTCGGTCGATGCGTTGGCTTCCTAAGTTTGAGCCACGATGGCAACGTGTGGGCACGAGCACGACTCGCAGGCGACAGAAGTTGCCATTCCAGATCACAGGGGAGAGCAGCAGCATTGCAAGTGGCGATACGTGCCGCCCGTGATAGGTGACGAGCCACTACAGCACCGAGCAGCAGGCAGGGGCGCCCTTCGGTTCGTGTGTGGATCAAATTCTTGGATTTCACTTTCTGTATTATTACCGCTGCACATGAATGTCACTCTCGGAAGAATGTTGCACATGACTCGGACGGCATTAGCGTCTGCAAATGTAAGGACACGACGACAGAGCAAGTACAGCCCGCAAGTTTGAAGTTTGTGCTCCATTTACGACGAGAGTGTGATTCTTCTGTGATCTCACTTGCTTTGGTAAAGAAATTAGGGTTTGCATTAGCATTATTTAAATGATGTGCTCTTTGGCCGATGAAACGCTTTTGATTAGGACCGGGAAGAAACAAGGTATGCTTACTGGCGGGGCCGCTCCTTGATGTGATGATGATGAAAAATGGAATCTGCTTTACTTGTATGCCTTTGCCTGTAGCGACGTCAGTGAAAGAGATGCGCACGCCTAGCTGTAATATGCTCTCTGAAACGTGTGAAGCATGGTGAATACTCGTGCTTTATGTTACGAGAAGGGTCTTGATGAACGCGACGACTGTGGAACTGGAAGGTGACAGTCTTAACTGTTGACTGTTGAGGTAGCTGTGAGACCTACCGGCGACCGCGATCGAGTGAGTCCCCCAGCATTGACTTTGAAAATAATCTACGTACTTACAGTACATCTCAAGTAAGAAAATTACATCGTCCTCAGGTAGAGGACGGGTCGCGAGTCGTGAGTGTGGAGGGTCGCTGTAATTGGCTGATGATAGGGATATATACGGACTACGGAGTAGTAAAGTGTAAACGTCTTCGCCGTGCGCGTTGTCTTGTGGCTCGGGGTACGTATACGCACTCTACGTAGAGCAGCCGCACACTCTGGGACAGTACAAAGAAGGGCAGGAGTCCAAGTCTCAAAATAAAATAAACCTGCAGTTGGCCAGTTTCACGCACGCTTTTGACAAATCTCTCTTTGCCACTTGACTTGATGGAGCATGCATGCACAGTCTCCTCCTTTGCACGCCTAGAACGAAGAAATGTCGCGGCAATCGCCAATCCACGAGCTTTACACGTCGTAAAGGCTCCGGGTTTTAGAACACGGCCGGGCTTGCACCTACGTACATACCGGCACATTGTTCATCCGCTACTTGCTAGCCAGCGGCTCGTTTTTTTTTTCTTTTTTTTCCTAGGGACTACGTTAGAGCAACTTCAGCAATAGCTCCTAAATCAGGGACCCCATTCTTAATTTTGATGATTTCTCCCATTTTTATTGACCCTCTATTTTACATTTACTCCAGCAGAAGCCCCTAAATCAAAGCCCCAATTTTTTTAATAGACAATGACTATTGGGACCCACTTATCATCTTCAATCTTTCACCATCTGAGCTATCCCAATACGCACAGGCGAGGGAGAGCCACACGCACTACCGGACTCGAGCGGCGTTGGGCCGAGGGAGGGGAAAGAGCCGGTGGTGGTGGTGGGGCGGGCAGAGCCGGTGGCCGCGCGGTCTGCTACGCCGCCACGTCCCGTGGAGCTCGCCGTCAGAGGAGATGCGGGCGGGCGGGGGCACGCTGCGAGTAGGAGAGAGGGGGCGCCGGAGGAGAGGGGGGCTTGCCGGAGGGGACGGGGCCGAGGCCGCGCGTCGTCCTGGCTTCGCCGGAGATCTCGCCCTCGTCAAAGAGCAATGGTCGTCGTTGCAGCGGCGGAGTGGCCTCGTGGTTTCCGTACGGGCGCAAGGAGGAATCACAGGATGGGGGCCGAGGTGTTGGGCCAATAGGAATTGGGTCTGTGGGGGGATTTGGGTGCCCACCCCAAATTGAGGGCTCGAGTAGAGACCCTGTTGGAGCTGTGGTTTTTTTTTGCATGAGCACCCATATTTAGCTATGAGAGCTTAAGTAGGGCCTGCTAGAGTTGCTCTTAGCAGTTCCTAATCAGCAGACTGCTGGTTTCGGACTTCGATCAGTGCACGGTAAGCAGGAGTATTCAAATGCTGTCCTGTAGTCCTATGGCGAGGAGAAAAAAAAATGCACCGTGGGCCACCGCGGGTGCAGCGTGCCTGGCCGTGCCATAATGCAAGTAGCAGCTCCGCTTCCGCACATGTCTGAGCATTCTTGGGCCTGGATGTTGAGCGGTGGACCGTGGTCCCGTACGCCTCCTACTAGACTTTTCAAACGAGGCTTCCTGTGGGGCCCACGTTCCCAAATTCGGTCAATGGCCCCACACGAACCAGCAAACACGATCCGCACACTTGTTTTTTTGGGGTTCTTGCCAGCCGACTTGGCGACCTGCATGCGGCTAGCTACCAAATCTCACCGGACTTCGGGTGTGTGGTGTGGGTCTTATCCCGGCAACAGTGAGCCATCCTAGCAGCAGTGGTTGACCTGGCATTGACTCGTGCGCGCGGTGGGAAGCAGCGGCACATGCCGGCGCAGTACACACGTCTTGGGCTTGACCTCAGCACTGTGTGGACATGGACCCGATCGCTCTCGTCGTCCCGGTGACGCACGCACTCGACCTCCCCTAGGACCTACTGTAGCGGCGACGTCGACGGCTGCGTCCTGGCGCACCGATGACCGTTGCATCCCACACAGGCATGCTGGCGTGACTCTGCGCTACCTAGCTTGCCGAGTTGCCTTCTGCCGCGCGCGCGCTCCGGCGTCGCCGTCGCACGCCTCCTTTGACTCCGCGTCGGCGTCGGCGTCGCACGCCAAGTACAGGGACAAAATTGTTTGCTTGTGCCATGAGGGGCAGCTAGCTATTTTTTTCGTTCAAACAATCTTTGTTCATAACCACCGGTAGTGCTAATCAATGACATGTATGTATAAGGATCGGAACAAAAACAGCGTTCAACTGCGGCTCGCATTGCTGGGCTTCCACCATTTGTGTGTTTGGTCGGCACTCGGCAGAGACGCAAACGCGGCCGGGGCACACAAATGAGCTGATGGAGGAGCAGGAGCTAGCTGTCGTCCGACGAGCACTTACGTAGCCGACCGGACAAGGCTGTTCGGCTCATATTAAAGCCGGCTGAAGCTGTTTTGTTGTGAGAGAAAAATATTGTAGATTCTAGCTGATAAACCGGCTGATAAGTTCAAGCGAACATTGCCCGAGCCGTGTTGAATAATGCCTCCATTCATACGTTCATTCGTTTCGTCCAAGTCCAATGCCATGTTCGTTTGGCTTATAAACCATACTTTTTCAGCCAATGAACGGTATTTTTCTCTCACAACAAATCAGCCAACAGTACTTTCAGTCCTAACTTATCAGCCAAGCAAATGGGGCCCAACTGCTTCAACGGACGCATTTGGTCGGTGAGCCCAAAAAGTCGCAGTCTGCATCCTAACTGTGGGCCAGCATATATACCCGGGCTTGATCATAGAACCTACCACTAATTTTGTCAGTACTGGATTTGTGGTTGCCTAGCTAAGAATGTTTAGCAGAGCACCATCAGAATCGAAACAGGATTATTCCATCCACCACGAGAATGTTCCGTAGGTGGAGATTATATTGGTTTCTTCAAGTCGAGTATAATCTGCAAAGCATGGTGTTGCTTGTTGTCTATTCCGTCGTGGCAGTAGCCGTATTGGTGCACCAGCAGATAGCAAACACCTATAGAGACGAAACCATGTGAAGTCATTCGCCATACACGAGTGCTAGCTGCTTGATCTGTGTAACCGAAAGACTGGTATACACACACTGGCATTGGCAACGGCCCGGCGTGATCTCAAAAGAAGGCAGTCCTACCTACTCTTCTTCTGTGCAACCTGCTGCCATGCAGCCCAGCCAGCCAGCCAGCCAGTCAGCCAGGCTAGTTCGGCTTGGGCCTGGTTTAGATTCCAAGTTTTTTCACTCTCTCTCTATCACATCAAATCTTTGAACATATGCATGGAGTATTAAATGTAGATAAAAAATAACTAATTACACAGTTTGATTGTAAATTACGAGACGATTCTTTTGAGCCTAGTTAGGCCATGATTGGACAATAATTATCAAATACAAACGAAAGTGCTACAGTGTCAAATACTGATTCCTAACCACGAACTAAACAAGACCTCGGTCAGGTTTTGAGCAGCGCCACATGTCATATCGGCTGGTAGTGCCACGTACCCATGCCTAAATTAAACACGATCAAGCAAGAACCAGATTCTCCGCTAATCCTGGTACGCACGGCGTGTGATCTGTCGCCGAGTCATCAGCGCACAATTACTCTCGGAATGGCGTGGAGGTGAATCGGATAACAACGCCAGCCCAACTCGCGCGTGTACGTTGGACGCTGGACGGCGGCGATATGCCCGGTTCGGCTCGCCATCGACGGAAAGCAGCGCGACGCCGTGTTCACATTAATGGCCGCCGGGTCTTTCCAGGAAGGAAAACGGGGTCGGTCAGTCGCAGCAGCTGTAGCTCTGGATAAAGATATATCCACAGGGGCCACAATTAATGAACGGGAGGAAAAACAAGCGCCAACCAGCGGAACGGGAGTACGGGGACGCTGCGCTCCGCTGCTGGAAACATATTGCGGTCCACCCCTCCGGTTCGTGGCCCTTTCACACGGAGGCCCCCCTCTCCCCCGGCCTATAAATGCCCGCCCGCTCCTCCCCGGTTTCGGCACTCCCATTCGGCCATTCCTTCGTCTCTGAGCTCTCAGGCGTTCTCAAGGCGCTCGTGAACACTCCGATCTCCGTCCGTCCGTCTCTGTGATTTGGTTCTCTTTAGCGTAGGCTTTTCCGCGAGTAGCAGCTTCTTGCGAGGCAGAGTCTTTTGCGTCTTCCTGCTTGAGTTGGTTGGGTCGCGATGGCCGGCGGCGTGGTGGTGAACGCCGGAGGGGGCAAGGACTACCCCGGCAAGCTCACCATGTTCGTGCTCTTCGCCTGCATCGTCGCCGCCACCGGCGGGCTCATCTTCGGATACGACATCGGCATCTCCGGTACGGCGCCGAGCACCCCCTCTCTCTCTCTGCCTCTCTCTGATTGATTTTCTTGTTCGCTGTTTTTTCCGTGGTTGTGGTTTTGTGGTTGAAGAGAGAGAAGAAAAACGGCAGTCGCATCTCGCACGCTGCTCTGTTCTTGCGATTTGCGAATCAGGCAGGGTATTTTCTCTGGCGCAGTTCACCTACCGCCCCGGCCGGGAGACCGGACGCATGGTTTCAGAGCGTCTTTTGCGCATACATACAAAACTGCGATATTCCCCTCGTTTTCTTTATGTCCTTTTACCAGATTCTTGCAAACCCAAGAAGAATCTTTCCATGCATCACCTCGCCATCTTCCATTTTTTATTATTCTCAAAAAAAAAAATCTTTCATTTTTGTTTTTATTTCCACCAGACAGCTGACACTACTAGTGGTTCTTTAAGTTAATGATAAAGAAAAAAAGATTATCCAAGATCATTCATTCCCCAAAAAAATACTGCAATAGTCTTTCAAGCAAAATCAGTACTAAAAAAACAAACAAAATAGGTTGCTGACGTGTTTGTGCAATGCTGTGGTCGAGCAGGTGGCGTGACGTCGATGAACCCGTTCCTGATGAAGTTCTTCCCGTCGGTGTACCACAAGGAGCAGGAGGCGGAGCGGAACCAGAGCAACCAGTACTGCAAGTTCGACAGCCAGCTGCTGACCATGTTCACGTCCTCGCTCTACCTCGCCGCGCTCGTGGCCTCCTTCTGCGCCGCCACCGTCACCCGCGTGGCCGGCCGCAAGTGGTCCATGTTCGGCGGCGGCGTCACGTTCCTGGTGGGCGCCGCGCTCAACGGCGCCGCCAAGGACGTGGTCATGCTCATCCTCGGCCGCGTCCTCCTCGGCATCGGCGTCGGCTTCGCCAACCAGTCTGTCCCCGTCTACCTCTCGGAGATGGCGCCCGCGCGCCTCCGCGGGATGCTCAACATCGGGTTCCAGCTCATGATCACCATCGGCATCCTGTGCGCCAACCTCATCAACTACGGCACCGCCAAGATCAAGGGCGGGTGGGGGTGGCGCGTCAGCCTGGCGCTCGCGGCCGTGCCGGCGGCCATCATTGCCGTGGGCGCGCTGTTCTTGCCCGACACCCCCAACTCTCTCATCGCCCGGGGCTACACCGACGACGCCAAGCGGATGCTCAAGCGCGTGCGCGGCACGGAGGACGTGGAGGAGGAGTACAACGACCTGGTGGCCGCCAGTGAGGAGTCCAAGCTCGTAGCGCACCCCTGGAGCAACATCCTGCAGCCGCGGTACCGGCCGCAGCTCGTCATGGCTATCGCCATCCCCATGTTCCAGCAGCTCACGGGCATCAACGTCATCATGTTCTACGCGCCCGTGCTCTTCAAGACGTTGGGCTTCGCCGACGACGCCTCCCTCATGTCCGCTGTCATCACGGGCCTCGTCAACGTTTTCGCGACCTTCGTGTCCATCGTCACCGTGGACCGGCTCGGCCGCCGCAAGCTGTTCCTGCAGGGCGGCACCCAGATGCTCGCGTGCCAGATCGTCGTCGGCAGCCTGATCGGCGCCAAGTTCGGGTTCACCGGCGTGGCGGAGATCCCCAAGGCGTACGCGGCCATCGTGGTGCTCTTCATCTGCGCGTACGTGGCCGGCTTCGCCTGGTCCTGGGGACCCCTCGGCTGGCTGGTGCCCAGCGAGATCTTCCCGCTGGAGATCCGGTCGGCGGGGCAGAGCATCAACGTGTCCGTCAACATGCTCTGCACCTTCATCATTGCGCAGGCGTTCCTCCCCATGCTCTGCCGCTTCAAGTTCATCCTCTTCTTCTTCTTCGGCGCCTGGGTCGTCGTCATGACCATCTTCGTCGCGCTCTTCCTGCCGGAGACCAAGAACGCGCCCATCGAGGAGATGGTGCTCGTGTGGAAGGCGCACTGGTACTGGAGCCGATTCATCCGCGACGAGGACGTGCACGTCGGCGCCGACCTCGAGATGCCCTCCGCCAACGGCAACGGCAAGGTCGGGGCCGGTAAGCTCGGCGGCATGCAGTAGCCATGGCGGCGCCTGGGCGTCCCTCTTTGCTGCTGATGCCTGATCTACTCATACAGTACTCCATTATTCTTGGGTCTTAGCGGGACATTTGAAACTTTAAGGATTCATCATCACTGTATTATAATCGTCTCATTAGGTATGATGACTGGATGATGACGAACAGTCAACTAGTCTTCGTCTCCTGTCTTCTTTTTTCTTCCTTTTCTATTTGTGCGGGATGCTCAATGTGCGGTATAATTATATTTGGGTCAGATCAAATCAAATATGAATATCAATTGCAAGTGGCAACTGCAGAAGCTCTGGATTTCCTGTGCATGGATGAATGCTGACGACCACTGGTACTGACTTTCAGATCCACGGCAATTAAAGCCATTTGCATAAAATAGGGAAAAATTTAACGCTCATTATTTACTATCCCTGTTTTCCTACGTGTCATATTAGGTTTATCCTAATTCAAATATTCTTAACTTTGACCGTTAATTTTAAAAATCCCATTTAGTTCCACAGCATATGAACAATATATTATGGAAAATTTTCTCATAGTGAAATCAGAAAACATATGTTGTTAACCTCTAATCTTTTTAAAAAACTTGATGTTCAAAGATAAATATTTGACATAACGCAAAATTAATACGCCATGCAAAAAAATGGATTTTTTCACACAATAATCAAAATGTGTGAGCATGAGTTTACATAGACTTTGGGAAAATAGGAAAAACATTGATTTGTTCAAGCATTTGATGAGCCATTTCACCGCGGCATGAGTTTCCTCCTCAACGTTTAGGGCCTCTTTGTCATGATTTCTAGCTTCTCCACCAACTTAATAAGAAGTATATTGACAAATATGCATGTGAGGGGTGGCTTGTGAAGCCATTTTGTGCCGGGAAGCCAAAGCCACAAAAAAAGGCTTTTCCTGGCTGGTCCATGGTCTCCACATATTCAAACGTATTCCTTCCGTGTTGGTATATCTATTTTATTATGTATCTAGACATAATATTATATCTAGATGTATAAAAAAATGGATGTATCAAAAAAAAAAAAGTATGGCCATCAAGTTCTCATAAATTATAAAAAAATACCATTGACCACTCATGCCTTCTCCAATGCGACACCGTGTACTGTGGTCTCAAGCTCCGCGTCTGCTCTCTCCGTCCAGATCACATCAACTGTTAGGCTTGCGGTGCCGCAGAGAATCCTGCAGAGGCGCCGAATGGTTGGACTGACAAATGGCTGAGGCATCCAGTAGAGCACGCGTTGCAACGAGAAAATAGCCTCCACACTGTACAAAGGGGACCACAGCAGTCGAGAGCATCCAATCGTGTGTAAACGAGACCACAGCAGACTATAGTGATGCTTTCTACTGAGCTAGAGCAGAGACCACATGTGAGCAGTGGTTTGCATTGGAAAAAACATGTGAGCAGTGGCTTGTAAGTTATGTACCTAGGTGGCGTTTAACTTTTGTCTGACGCTAACGCTCTTGTTAGCTTGCGCTGGGGCTGCCCTAATGTGTATAACCAAGTAATGTAGATAGAAAAACTCAAATAATTTGACCTCTTCCATCCATTTCTCAAAAATATGAGAAGCTATTTTACCAGGTGTTTTTTAAAAGGTCTAGTTTTACCACAAAGGTTATCATGTTGACAGACCAAAGCCAAGGCTATTTTTTTTTTATAAAAGCAGTGCCATACCATACGAGTCCTTACTATAACAACAAGCTGGTGTGCCAGGAATCCCTTAAGATCTTAGGTAATCTGACTTAAGATAGAATTAAAAAATTGCATCCTTTGGAGGGTGGAGGTATTAGAGAGTTGGTATATTTTAGGTGACTGGATTTTTGGATAGTTACAGCCAACAATTCATAAAAGACAAATAGTACAATTAAAATGACAGCTCACAAGAGACAATAACCAATTTTAATAGCCAAATAATGACAAATTTGTATGTTGACTAAACAACAATAAAAAAATCAAACGCCTAACGTATAAAAAGTAGATCGAGGTATTAATTAATGATTATGCAGTGGTGGGAAGCCTGGGTCAAGCAAGGGGAAGGCACGCGCAAGGATGAAAAATCCTCTACAAATAACTAAATGGATTATTCAAATGATTTTTTCATGGATTTCATACCCTGAAAAAAAGTCATGAATTCTTAAGGGATTTGAGTTTACAAAAGAGGTCTAAGGGTGCTGCAAATGCAACAGACCATGTGTCTGTTTTCCCCCAATTTTGTTCAGTAAACGAATCTTAGCCGTTGCATCCACCATCGGCACAGGCTGCTCGACCATCTGCACGAGATGAAACGCGAGCCTCTCTTTGTTTGTTCTTTTTTTTCCCCTGTTGCCTTTTTGTTTCACATCACGTGGAAGGGTGGAAGCTGCCGGCCGGGATCCCTTTTTCTGGTACATTTTCGCGATGTTTCCGTAGTGTCTACGGTAGAGAAGGCGATGACACCGTGTGCGCGTAGGACGGCAATGGTGTCACAATAATAAGTTCTGAAACGACGCTGCTTAGACTGTTAGACAGGATAACGTTGCCGTCAGCGTCAGTGCCACCGACCGGGCTGCTGCGCACCGTGAGATCGCCGCGCCGGCCGGGTCTCCAGGGTGCCGCGCTCCCACGGCACGCTGACACGCGGCCAAACCAACAGCTGTGTCCTACGTGTGCGTTATCCATTTCTCCAACTACCGATACGTACTACTTTTGCTGACAATTTTGATCCTCCAACGATAGCTAGCCGTCTTCTAGAAGACTACAGCACAACGTGTACCCCTGCTTCACGTAGTCACGTTGTTTGACGCCATTATTATACTACGGTCATCCAAGAGGAAATGCAACACGTAGCACGCGTGATCTTGGAGTAGATTGCAAAGTAAAGGCAATGGCTTCCTGCATATATCGTGTGTGTGTGTATGGCGCGCTATCAAAGTAGCGTTACAATAGTGAAGGGCTTTGAAGGACATGAGGCGTATAGGTCACAACCGAAATTAAACGATCGTGGTGAGGCGCCGGCCAACATGACGATGTAACGTCACGTCGTGATCTTTGGGGCTTGTTTTGATTCTCTCGTCTAAAGTTTAGAGCTCTAAAAACTTTAGATCACTTTTAGCTCACTTTTGAGGTCTAAAGCTCTAATCTAAGGTGAACTAAAGTTTAAAGATAACTTTAGATCATCCGTTTGGATTCTCCTCTCCTCTAAAGTTTAGAGCACTAAAGTTTAGAGAGGAGAATCAAGCAGGCCCTTGGTGAACATGCTAAACAATACTATTTTGATCATTTTCTTTGGATGACCACCACATATGCAAGTCATCAATAGCCACACCAAACCTCGGCCGTCCAAGAAAAACATGGGCACGTACATGTCCGTTTTATCCACGGCAGCAGGGCAGCCGGCAGCAGCAGAACTAGTAGCGCGTCCATAGAACCAGGAGCGAGAGGTTCGTGGGTGGCGACTGGCGAGCAGCAAACCAAATCCACCGACTCGGCGATCCGAGAACGCTAATGCGAGGAGAGATGGAGAGAGTAGTCCTGTGAAGCACCCCCTCCTTTTTCCGCCAACTCGTCTTTGGGGCGCCGGCGCCCTGATAAAGATTGTTGTCTTATCCATAACGCAAATCGATCCAAGGCCGGCCAGTTCGTTTGATTTTGATGTCATCCAGGACCCAGGTGGCCTCTCGATCAGACGATCACGTGCTCCAGATACACACCACCACCGGCAGTTCCGAGCTAGACATGCCTAGCTAGGCCCCTGCAACGTACGAGATCGAGTAGGAGGCAGCAGATGAGCTAGACACGTACGAGATCGAGTAGGAGGCAGCAGATGATGGTCATCTCCCTCGCGCTCACGGGTTCGTAACGGAGAAAGCGACCGAGGCGCCGTGGGAGGAGAACGAAAGACGTACGCCGCGTCGGCCGACGGAGGATCCGGATTAGATTAACACGGATTAATTGCGCCCACGCGGTCGCAATGTGCGTGGCAAACTTTTTCTCCAGCCTGCGAATTGAATCTGCTGCCACCCCCGCCCGGCCCGTAAACTAATTTTAATGTTACACGTCAAAGGAAAAAAAAGGTGGTTGTTGGCTGGAAGGTGCGGGTTACGCAAATGTGATACGGATAAATTTGTGGATAGCCCTTTCGGCGGACGTGTAAAGGATGCATGCCATTTCGATTCGAGGGACACAAAAGTGACAGGATCCGATTCGGGGCCGCGGCACAAGGACCGCGCGTTTCGCTCGGGCGCCATGCATTCCCTCGCCGTCTCACTCATCGTTAATGGCAGGCTGTCCCTGCTACTACTCATCAGCACGCGCCGAGCCCTCTTCCGCCACGCACGCACGCGTTTAATTTTGGCCGGTTGGCGTTGCTTTGCATGCCTTCCAATCCAATGCAAGTTCCGACGGACGAGGGACGGTGCGCGCGCTGGCTGGAGCTGATTCAGCTGATCGCGCTTCACTCCCTGCAACACACGCGTATGCTATGACAGCAAGTCAGCGAGAGGGTATGATGTATGCTAGCTCACCGGTTCCAGCGGGAAAACCGCGCGATCGAGATGGCATGAACCGTGAAAATCTCGTCCACAACGTGTCATGCTGATTCATGAAGGCGTGCGTGGGAGCACCGCATGCCTGCCCGACCAGGGCGAGTGTGCGGCTGTGCCCAAAATTCCTTGTTGATGATCGGATATGAATCCATAGATTTCTGCCGCCTTTGGATGATCATACGGTGCCGGGATGAGAACGATCGAGGTGCATTTTGTCAAATGGATCAGACGGAAACGTTGGCGAGGATCCATCGATCGACGACGCTGCTGCTGCCTTCGTTGAATGAGCCTACAGAGAAAATAAGGGCGCTGCCGTAGCTGTTTAGTGCGGTGTTTGGGAGCCCCGGAAGTCAGTACCTGATGACTCGGCCAGCACCAGGAGGCGGATTTGATGCTCGCAGGAGTCGTCGGTCGCCGCACGAGTCCACGACCACAGCTGCGCAGAACGGAGTGGAGCCCTGCA